TTAAATAACAAAAAAAACTACTGCGCCATTGACTTTAGACCAGGTTTTTGTTGGTCAATAACGCAGTCTATTTCAGTTGCCTCAAAATAGCAACGCGCCAGCAGTGCGCCTGAACACACCTCGTTTTCAGACCAGCACGCCCACCAGCACGCACATGGGCGCAAATGCATTTGCTATTTAAACAACATTGCGCCGGGTGTATGATAGGGCCCATTATTTAAAAAACGGAATATTTTTATTTTGCTTTAAGCTGTAATTTTGGCAAATTATGTCTGAACATTTTTTTTTATTTATGATACATAAAATACTTTAATGCAAGACAAGAATTTTATTTAAAAAAAAAAAAATTAAGTAAATGAATGAATGAAAAAAAGAAAGTTTAAATTAATGAAAAAAAACGAAATTAATGCTGATTTCAGATGTGGTGAAAATGGCATGATGGTTCAAGAAAATAAAAGAAAAGAAATTTCCTGTGATGCATGTATGTTTTAAAGCGTTAAAGATATTATTATATTATTTACAATATTAATGTTAAAGAAACATTCGTAACTGTGAAAAAAAGATTTTAATAAAGCTTGTTTACTAAAAGTTCATAAAGACAAATATGCCCATAGTGGAAAAAACACCCACAAGATCCACCTACTCAGTTTTCAGTACACTCTTAAAAATAAAGGTGCTTGAAAGGTTCCTCACAGCGATGCCATAGAAGAACCACTTTTGGTTCCACAAAGAACCATTCAGTCAAACCATCTTATCCTTACCTTTTTATAATCTGAAGAACCTTCTTTCGCCACAAAGAACCTTTTGTGAAACAGAAAGGTTCTTCAGATGTTAAAGGTTCTTTATGGAACCATTTAGACAAAAAGGTTCTTCTATGGCATCGTGAAGCACCTTTATTTTAAAGAGTGTAGGTGAAAGTGGGTCTGGTCAAAGTTTGTAGCACAACTTAACTTACCATTATTGGATGTTTTGTCTGTAAGTGTGAATTCTTGCCTTAAGGGAAATGTGTGTCATAAGTGTCATTGTCAGTAAAATGGAAGTATCTGTTTCATTTCTATTTAACTCACTCTTCAGGTTGTGATTCATAACGTCTATCACACACATCCCAGTGATTCAGCAAAAGCATCAGTTTATGATGACAAGACAGATGCCAAATATGGAACCATTGCGTCTGAGCATCTGACAACCAAAAATGCAATAATTCAAAATGTTTTGCAGATGCTGTCAAGATGTTTTTATACATACTACTGTAGGTACTGTATATTTGAAACTCTATGAGACCTACAGGAATGGTTCACACACAATTTTAATTCTGTCATTATGTTTTACTCACCCTCATGTTGTTCTGAAAGAATGATTCATTCATGAATCAAACATCACTACTTCTGTCATGGGTGCATTTTTTTTTATATTTCATTTGAATTATTCTTTAAGACCACTAATCACTGCAGTGTTTCACTGCTTCTATACTGCAAGTGAGCACAACAATTAGAACGCCCACTTATAATCAACCAAGCAAATCAAGAAGAATCAAATTAATATGTAACTATTTCTGCAAAAGTGCATTTGAACTCACCTACCGTATGCATGTTGGAGGATT